ATAAAAGTTGATGTTAAATGCCTCTAAGAGTATCCACATAGGATTAAAAAATTTGATATGATTGATCCACATCAGTATTTTTTATTAAATAAGAAAAATATTTAGTATGATTAATCTTAATTTTGTTTTAATCATGAAAAAATTAAATAAAAAAACTTAAGTAGCATATAGAAAAGAAAATTATGTTAAAAACCCAAAAAATAGTATCCTTAAAAATAAAATAAAAATATGTTTTCAAAAGAGTTAAATTAACAAAAAACCAATATCATAATAATTCTAACTTATAATATAATTCAGAAAATTCTAACTTCTAAATTAATTGACAAGAAAATATAAAATATTGATTTCATTTTATAGATAAAAAAATCAAAATAAAAAACTTAAACAACAAATAGAAAAGAAAATTGTGTAAAAAATAACCAAAATATAGCATCCGTCAAAATTTAAAACATTAATTTCATTTTATAGATGGAAAAAATAGAATAAAAAGGCTTAAGTAAAAATAGAAAAAAGAATTATGTTAAAAACCAAAAAAAAAAATAGTATCCTTCAAAATAAAATAGAAATTTATTTTCAAAAGAGATAAACTAACAAAAAAATCAATACCATAAAAGCTCAAACTTATAGTATAGATTAGGAAAATGCTAACTTCTAAATTAATTGACAAAAAAATAAAAAACATTAATTTTGTTTTATAGATGAAAAAAAAGCTTAAGTAACAAATAGAAAAGAAAATTATATTAAAAAAACCAAAATATAATATCCCTTGAAATTTAATGAAAAAACGTCAAACTAACCAAAAAACTGATATCGTAAAAATTAAAACTTATAGCATAGATTAGAAAAATTATAACTTATAATGCATTGCACATATACAAATATATAATAATAACGGCATATACTGTGTAGATGCTATTAGAAAACTGTTCATCATCAATGACGAGAACTTTCTTTGTCCAGTTAAGCTAATGATATCACCAATGATGGAAGTCATAATAAAATAAATGTTCACTTGCAATTAAAAAGATAAGCATGTTTTTCCAACAACTCATTTATATATTCTAATTTGGAATACAATCTATGTTTACTTAGCACCATTTTTTTTTTGAACAGTGGGTCAATTGTTCGTGTTGCTCTTTCGCAATTTCCAAAAAAAAATAATAAAAAGTGTTGTCAAACCTATCGTGTTCCTGACCACAATTATGAACCCAAAAACATTTCAAAATTTGTAATCTCAAATATATAATTACCATTGTTTTACTATTCTTTATGAAAATATGATGAATTTTGAAATAAATAGATAATAAAATTTATTTAACTCTTAACATCATATTTTAAATTGCATCATGTAAAAATATTATTTTTGCACTCCACTTTTTCCACCCGGTTTTTTCTAACAAAGATATTGAAGCAACTACTGACTATACTCACTATTTGACATGGTAAGTATGCTCACATGCATTACCTCACAATACTTTAATTTCCTATTGTGTTTTTAGATATAAAACCAAACTGTTTAAAGCTATTATGATATGATAAAAAATTAAACATGTTTTATTAAAAACTTTTTAGCTTTCAACATGTTATAAATTTATGTTTCAAAAATTAGGAATCATTATAAAAAAAAAGCAAATTAACAAAAGACAAAGTCATATAAAAGAAAACTAACTTGGGCTAAAGTTTTTGGAAAAACTTATCTAAAATAAACAAATGATGTTATAAGCATTTGAGAAAAATTCGTCTAAGAATTAAACAGTTAGAGCATATAAAATTAATATAAAAAACCAAATTTAACAAAGTAAAAGCATTTGTATAAAAGAAATTAATGTGATATCTATGATACCTATATAGAAAATCAACAACAAAAGAGTTTAAGAAAAAGAATATAAGCCATGAGTATATCAAACATACAAAAAATATATAAATTACAATAAATAAAAAATTACTATCAAAAGACAAAAAAAACATTAAAACAAAATTAATTTGAAATTAGTTTCAAAAAGTTCCTTCCTGATTTCTAATATATTAGTATCAACAATGATTAACTATTTAAAGTTGCAATACGTTTACATGAGTTTCTAAACCAAACATATTTTTAAATATACAATTATTAATACACTTGATATTTCTGATTTAAAAATTAACAAAAAAAAACATTATATAAATAACTTTACACTCGATATTTAACAAGTAGTATAATATGATTTCTATATATAGCCACTACTTATATCTGAACCAATATCAAAAACACATTCTAAAATTCTATTTAAATAATAAAATATGTCATAGTTATGAATCAAACTTAAATTGGTAAATGTAGATAAAATATTCAAATCAAAACATGCATATTGCACACAAAAGATAAAAACAATAAAAAATAATGCAAAGACTCCACACCACCGATCCTACAAGTTAGAAAACAAAAATTATCAAATATTATACTGTAAAAAAATAGATATCAATGAAAACTGAATAAAAAATATAAGCTATAACTCTTGGAAGCATTGGTGGAGAAGGAAGAAATGGGTTTGCATGATCATTGCAGCTTTCTAACAAAATTAAATGTGAATCAACATGAATCATGGATTATATATGCAATGGTACACAACATCAATAAGACTTTCAATAAAAAAAAATATCTGAACACATAAACCTTCAAGAAAAAAGAACTATAAAAATTATAATGGAAAATAGAAAACAATACCAAAATTTTAACAAGCAAATATTTTTTGTAAATCAAATGTATATGTACTAGGATTTAGCCCGCTCTACGTGCGGGGTAATTGTTTTTTAATTTAGTAAATTTAAGTTTTGTTTAAAAGTTTAGTGTTTCTTATCTACATTATTAATATATGGGTTGATTATGTTTGTTGTATGATTTAATTGTTTATTGGAATAAGAACGTTGTATTATTTGTGAAGGATATTTTGGTTTCGTTTGTGTGTGATATCTGTTCTAAGTTGGTAGTTTTGTATTTATAATTATTGTATTATTTGTCTATTATATTTTGTCATAGCTGAGAGTTTGATTTAAAATTGGATAGATTTATAAAATGTAAGAAAATTAAATATTGATAATTTGATTATATAAAATAAAATATAAAATTTAAATTATTGTTAGTTTTTGCCTTTTTGGTAGAAAATAAGAAGTTATTTAAGAAATTTTAAAAATTCAACAAATACATTTGATAGATGTAAATGATTTGTATAATGTATCTATACAACCCGGAAATCCTGATATAATTTAGTTACAGGTTTATAAATAGAGGTTAAATATTTTTTTTTTATCAAACTTTTATCTCGTCTAAATCGTCCCATTATATTCTACTTCTGATCTCAAGTTTTGACATGAAATGGATATATCCGTATATTTCTTGTGAAATTAAGAAATATAACAAAACTTATATTTGATTCCTTATAGAAATAATTATTTGTATGAGAAGTTTATTTTGCTATAAATGTATTCTATTTTGTTAATAATATAGAAACCACTTATTTTTATTTTTGGTATACATATATTACATACATTACTAAATTTTAACCTATCATGAAAACGGGTTACTATTTTTTAATTTGTATTCATTTTATATCCTTGATTCAATCTGAAAATTCTGTTATATTTGAGTTAGTTAAGTTAATGACCATAGTTAATTTTTATTAAAATTTTCATTTTGTCAAAATTATCCCATTGTGTTCTATTTATGATCTTGAATTTTGATTTTATATAGAAATTTATTTCTATATGAGATATATTATATTTTTGTTTTGTATAATGTATCCATACAATCTATAAATAATACAGCTACATATGGATCGAAATTTTTTGTTTGGACATGGTCCAATTCAGCATTATTGAGTTGACTCAGTATTCTCGGTCATTAGTGTCCCCAATTATACTTAACTTTCTCTCATCCGATCTTTCTTAACTTTCATAGCTAATTTGCTGTTGTGTTAGGACTTGGGATGATTTTTTTTGCCAATGTTGACGTTATTATGTAGCACACTTAGCCCTGAAAATTTGGGAAGGGGAATCTGTCTTTCCCATACCAGTTTCAAATTTCTCGTCCTATTCTCTTTTTCATTCAAAATAATTATCCAACTGAAAACATATTTTTTAAATATCGAAATTCCTGTTTAAAAATTAAAATTTCAAAAAATTACATATTTTCTCAAATTTCTCCGAATTTTATCGAATTTTTCTAAATTTATCTAAAATATACATCTTTAAGCTTTTTTTTGATAACTCAAATTTGATTATTATATCTTTAAGTTTAAGCTGAGAGTTTGAGATTCATGTTCCCATCCCTTACTCACAGATTCCCATCTTATTTTCGTTGGATTGAAATCATTTCTCAAATTTCCCGTTCTCATTCTGCACCCGCAAATTTTCGTCCGGAATCACGAAATTTTTAGGGCTAAACACATTCATAATCGACTTACTTGTTCACACGTTCCTTTTTTATTTGCTATTAGGCTCTCTAAACATTTGACCCAATTACTAATTCATGTAGGGACTTCAAATCTGGGCCATAGAATAAATGACAGGCCCAAATATTTACAATCTCCACCTTGGACCAGTAATAATTTTTTTTTTTGTCTCTCTCTTCTTCATCACGGCAATTTCTTTTGTCATTGCCGATACATTATCCCTTTTCCAATTGTGAACAAAATGATGATGCAATTCCGATCAACTTTCTCAGCGTTTCCTAGCCAGAATTCTTTCGCTGACCCTCTCCAATCATGAGTTCACGAATCCTTCCCCTTTCCCGTAGACAGAATTATGAGCAACTTTACCCTTAATTGAATCCGAGCACTGTCAAGCTCTCCGACCAGCGGTTTCCTCCGAAAACCTCCACTGTCAACTTGAACCTCCATTGATTTAAGCTACCTCCAACTTGGGCTCAAGGTGAGAGAGATTCGGGAGTCTCTCCCAAGCTTTCTTTCTTGATGGTGAAACACATATGCGATTCCGGCCAAACCATGCATCCTCCGAATCCGATGATGTCCCTTGTTGCCATCTCTCTTTGGTGGCTGAATAAGCTCGCGCCAAGCTCGTCAGAAACTGCCCATCCCCTTTGATTTTCGATCAAATCATACATTCCTTGGAATCAATTTCCGACGCCGTTATCTTCTGTAATCTTAGGTATTCTGAAACTATGATTTAATCTCCTTACTGTGACGAATTGAGTTTGCCTTTCTTTCTGAGATTACATATCACAAAATTCTGGAAAAACTTGGATTCTTTTGCAGATTTAATGATGAACGCCCCGTGTTCTTCTGCTCCTTCACAGCTTCTCCGCTGTTCCGATAAGTTTAGGTAAACTCTCAGGAAAGCTGAATCAACTCCTCCTTACTCTGTCTCATGTTGTTTTTTTGATGCAGGGTGACACTTTAACTCCAATTTCATGTCTCTGCAACTCCATCGGAAATCAATGGAACTCTATCTCGACTCCATCTGGCCCTGCATTTCTTTCTCCATTCTTCCTAACAAACCTATTTTTAGTGATTGAACTAATTCCCTTACCGGTCTTCTCATGCGCATTGAGCCTTGAGTCAAATTCCATGAACTTGCGTGCCCTTAACCATACGATATTATAAACCAAATGTATAGTCTTTTTGTTTACGATATCAATCAAATTCCATGAACTTGCGTGCCCTTAACTAAGTGTTCTAGTTAAGAAACATCTTTGTTCCATATATCATCTCATATTATTCTTAAGTCTTTTACAGGAGATAAAGGATCAGCGCAAGAGAGAGGCACAAACAAAAATACATTCTGCAATACACTCTTCCAAGAAAAAGATGATTGTTGGTCACAGTTGATTCCTGGGTATGCAAGCAATTGATTCTGTAAAGATTTTAGAAGATATAAAGAGTTTCAGTTGCTTTGTCTGTTTTCGTTTTGCTCATTTGATGCAGCTCGTTTTTGATTTCGCACTCACATGCTCAAGACCGGCAGGGAGTTATGGTGCCGTTCGAGAAAGAAGAGAAGGAGACACAATAGCTTGGATGCTTTCTGTCTAGAAAGTGTATACAGGTAATGTTCCATATCACTGCAGAATCATAAGTTTAAAATCATGTTTAGAGATTAATGATAAGGAAATATAAGATAAAAACTAAAAGATACAAAACCTTTTCAACTTTGAACTGTTCCATTTAAAGATTAAAACTTCAGGAAACAATCAAAATAAGAATTGAGTTGTAGCTTCGTCTAATGGTTGGGTAGTCCCAGATATAAGAGATTTACAGGAATTAGAGAATGTCTTTCATTTTTATTTGTTAGATAATCAAATTGAAACATTAAACAAATAATTATAGTTTAATATAAAAACACTTACTTTTCATTTTCGGTTTCGAACTCAAACTTCTTCTTTTGTTTGTTGTTGCTGATCATGTGGCATTTCTTGAGTTTGTGATGTCCGCAATATAGAATAAGGCATTGGGTAGTCCATATGCTATACATGGGAATCATAAATAATATTAGAAAAAGTTAAATATAGGATATTATTGTACATATATGTAATCTAAGTACAGCATGTTTATTCATTTTTCCTTTGATCTTACATTCAGATTTCAGGTTTAAACTGGTTTTCAGAAGTGAAATATTGCATCGAGAAATCAGGTTAGTTTGTTATCTCTTAAAATAGTATCGTAAGGTCCTTGATTTGAATTGGAGTTGACTTAATGGAAAGTAAAGTAAAATATAAAAACTTACTTGTAGCAAGTAGTTCTATGTTTATTGGAATTTGCCTCAAAATTTAAAATAGATATGATCTTAGAAATCTCTTCGCCTAAATGAAATAGTATCACTCCTTATGTCCCGAACCTGTAATATCAATACGAAGCAGTGTTGGATTATGAGCAATACGATGATTGAAGGTATGAACAATATGTGAAGGTCTAAATCCTAGTATTAACAACAAAACAGAGATTTTGAAAGAGAGGCGTAGAAAGATGATTGAAGGTATGAACGATATGTGAATGTCTTAATGTCTCTATATATATTCATTGATCTAGGTTTAGTCTCATAATCTTTTTCAAGTATTTTCATGCCACTATTACGGAGCTAATAATATTATAAATTTATAAAAAATCCTACGCCACTCTCAAATAATATACCTCTTTTCGACTAAAACCATCTCGATTGATTCTCTTGATCCGAAAGCAAACTGTTTCCATATGTGCAGGATTTCGACCTGAATCCTCCAACTGGATTTGAAGGGCTTAATATTTTGAACAGATTTTTTTAGGCGTAGAAAGGTATGAACTCTATGATAAGCTGTTTGTTCTATTTATATTAAAGTCAGTTAGGTTTTTTTAGCAGTTGTTTCAGTGGCTAATCTTTTTGCCAATATTTTCATGCCCTTAATATTAACGAATTAATGATATGAGAATATTCTAATAATGATGAGATTTTAGATACAAATTAATGATACGAGAATATTCTAATAATGATGAGATTGATTAGATCTTTAATTATGAGTTCTAATGTTAGGTTGTTTGCGGGAATGTAGGATTTCTATTATACTCAAAATAGGTGATAACGTTTAGCAGTTGCCGAGATATGGCCACATATTATGATTTATGAATATCTTTTATTTATGACAAACAGACTTTAGATTATGAGTTAATGGTAGTTAGTTAGCGAGAAATTAGGATTTATTTCAATTTAGGAAGAACCTAAACGCATGTAAGTTGCCATATTTTGAGCGAAAAATATTCTCATACATTATGATTTATGATTTTGATTCAATTTTCTCAAACCGTTGATTTCCGCTGTTTTGATTTTGATGAATCCGGTTTGAATTAAGTTAGTGGGATCGGCGTTCTTTTAAATGGGCTTCTGGGTCGGATTTTTCTGTTTGAGATAGTCCGAGTTATCTAAGGCGAGTTAACTCAGTGAACTCGCCAATTTTGTCTCCAAATATATCTGTTGCCAAACACAATGTAGATTTAAATGCAATGGCATTTTTCGTAATAACATTCATTTTTTCGATTTTTTGAAAAATGTACTTCTCAAATAATATTGTAAAAATGTCAAAGTTGGATAATTCTATAAGTGTCATTGTTATTATTTCATCTAATAATTCTTAAAATTATATAAATAAAAATAAAAAAAATTACATATTATTTATTAAATTTTTTTATATAAATAAAAATTTCAATAAATATATTATGATTTTAATAATTGAAAAGATAATAACTAAAAAAAAATTAAACCAAGCTACTAATACAGATTCGCGCGTAGCATGAATTATATATCTAATTTTACGTAGAAGAGAAATCTTTAATATTTGTATAAAAATAAAATAATTACATCTTTAATATAATGTAACAAATTATTTTGAATATTACTTTGAAGAATCTATTGATTTATTTTATTTAATAAGTAAACAAAAGAAGGATAATCGAGAAGTCCTTGACGCAAATAGAGTGGATCCAATATAATTGTTCTAAAATCAAATCGTTTCTTATAAATATCTGATTCTTCTACCTCAAGGAGCTTTGACCAGTGTGTAAGAGTTGTCCTTTTCCATTTAATTTCAGTATGTACTTTTTCTTCATTAGTGCATCATGCATTGGATCATTCAGATAATCAATTCGTATCACAAAGAAATATTTCATGTATTTCAAATTCCGATTTGCTTTGATGGTTTATGGTTGTGGTCTACACCACTCTCTAAAGGTTTTCACCCTTTAAGGTTAAAGTTAATCTCTACCTACGACTGTACACAACTTGTACTAAGAATCAGAAAATTAAATTAACCATAAACCATATAAATCAATACATTTATAAAAAAAAAACCCAAATAAGATATAAATTCAGAAACACTAAACCTATGTTTAGATAACCTTGTGTCAAGAACCGGTCTGTGAAGGTCCGTTTAGAAACAAAAAAAAAAACAAAAGAACCGGTCGGTTCTGATCAATCAAATAAGGTTTTTGTTTTTGTTTTAATTTAGTAAGGTTTTTGATTTTCTAAGCTCGATTACAGATTCACATGTATGAATTTAAAATGTTTACAAATATGGTAGCTACAAATAAAACGGTAATTTCCTTATTTGCCTTTTTTTTAATCGTTTTGACGTTTTTTAGCGGCCAACTGATATAAAGAAAATATGGATGCTGACGAAAAACAAATAACTGCGAAAGGGCAACAGAGTTAAAAGCGTGTAGCCGTATAACGGTAAAAGTGTTGGCCACTTGCAAAATTCTCTCATTGTGTTTACAGTGGGTCCCTTATAACGACAGACTGCCACGTGTCATAATTTTTGTTTAAATTCCTCATTGTATTTGCCCATTTTCCCCCTACGTTATCCATTCGCCCACGAGGACTCGAAAGCGATATCTGGTTGGACTAATCAGACCGGATTCTACTAAACCAATTGTTATTGTTTCTATTAATTTCTCTATGGTTAAAAAGTCAAAACAAAAGCAAATGTCAAAATCAAATTTCACTTCCAACGACCTAAAATACTAATCTGGTGAGATTTTTTTCTTTCTATAATCCTAAACCAATGGAATCGTGATTTACACATGCACATAGAAAGGGTCTTATGGTTTTGTATCGTAGTATATGTTCAGTAGTTTCTCTGTGTATTCTCCAAACGTCAAGACACCGCCATTAGAGAGCGATAACTCTTCATGGATTGTTACTTCCTTTGGGAATGTAAGCTTTTGATCCCTGATACACCCACAAACGCATATTTTTTTAGTAATCAATGATTTTATCTACTTTTCTACAAAGAAAAATCAAGAAAATAACTTTTCAAAGGAATTTAGATAAAAAAAATAGGCAATTCTCTAAAATACAATTTAAGATCTATCAGTAAAGAATGGTACCAATCAGGTTGCATGAACAATGCAAACGTCGATCTCTCTAGACCACAAGCCTCCTCTCCTTGCGGCGCCTGAATACAAAAACAAGAAACTTCATGGTTCGTCTTGGTGTAGAGATCCCAACACTTGATACAATCCACAAAGGCACGAAGAATATTACCCGTACACAATGAGGTGTAGCACAAAGATAACCACTTGACATAATCGCTGTTGTCTCGCCTATTTGGTATGCTATTTCATCTTCTCCATACACAACCTAATCGAATGCAAAAGAAGCAATTCTCAAGAAACACATAAACATACCATAGGCTCCATTAAAGTTATAGCACAGTCAGCAGGAACAAGAAGGAACGGTACTGTACCTTAACGATCTGACCCGACCGTGTTTGTATGTATAGGCCAGAAGCAGGATCAGGACAAGGTACTTCCACTGAATTTCTTGAAAATATCGCACGAGTAAGACCTGTGGATAATCGTAGAACGATACACTTTAACATCATTGTCACAAATGTAAAAAACCTATCCGCATATAAGCTATACAGAGAGAGAGATGAATGTTTAAGTAAGCAAAGAGACCTGTGAGTGATCCATGGTCTGTATGCCATCCACACCAAGATGAGATGGAATCGTTTTCCTGCGTAGTGCTAAATGGAAGAATAGTAGATGTCAACACACCAGACAATTAAGGAGGTTTAATCGCGCAAATGCAAATTCTACTTATATATAACATGTGTTCATAAGTATTGACCACTAGGGACTAAAAATCCAAAAGCAAAGCAGCAGAGTAAAAGCTACATCTAGTTTTTACCTGTCCTGTGCAGGAAAATAGTAAAGCAGACGTCCTTTGTGACACCGAGAGTCGAGTAGTATCTTTTCAAGATTTTGCTTTTCATCTTGTTTTATACCCTTTGACACTGCAGATCATGGATTGTTAAGGGTGATCAGAAAATAGACAATGATGTAAAAACCAGTTTCATTTTGAATTTTGATACACTTCAATGGTAATGCACAATGCAGAGACTGGTTACAGAGATTACATCCACCAAGCAATACTAAGAAAGCTATTTGTAGTTGTAATTTCTAAGAGTAAGAAGTGAATTAGGCTACTCTACAGACACAACGACGTCATGCTTTCAGGAAAATAAAGTCAGTGACAACATCTGCTTTCTAGATGAGATTGATAAGAGAACTTACGCTTTCTTACGCTCAATTCCAAAATTATATGTGCAAACAAGGCATTCGATGTCTTAAGGACATCAAGGATGTTATAAGAGAGGTTCAATAACCCCAATGAAACTACTTACCGTATTGATCACAGTGGTAAGCCACCATCAGCCCAACTTCGTACATCAGTTTACCAAGTGCTTTGAAAGCTGTCATGTATGAAAGTAACAAAATAGCATCAATGAAACCAAGCTAGGGTTTGAAGCATAAGCAGATACCAGATATTGTCAAACTTTACGGTACATATAAGTAGGAACTAGGAAGTCATGCAATCATCCATACAAAAACAAAAACCGCAATTCATTCCTAAAGATGAGACACCAAAAAACCGATTTCCGATTAATTTTTTTGAACGATGCAAGTAAAGCAAGTATCAACTCGTTACCTCCTTCGAGTTCTGGCAAAGAGTTCCTTGGCCATATGTTTGATCCACAGTACCATGGATACCTACATGATAAATGGATACGAATATAAAATAATGAACCATAGAAAAGAACGAGTCTGTTACTTTCATGTAAACATAATACCCTATTCAAAATAACTTACATACTACATAAGCCAAATACTTTGTAAACATAAACCATTGGGTATTGGTGTTATTTACCGATGGATTTCAGATGAATCACTCGTTGGTACATCTTGTAGAGGATTAGCGTAATAAGAACCCTTCAACATATCTGCAAACAAACAATACCCAAAAATTTATTCTTAAGTATTTTCATAGAGCAAGCCAGAGAAAATGATAAAAAAATCAAAAAGAAACACAGTTAAACAATCTTGTATACAAGGAACAAAACAGAAATACAGAATGTCAAATTATAAGCTTTCTTTAACAAAACGAGTCTATAAGCTAACCAAGCTTTCCGGATTCAAGTTTCTCCTTGCCATGACTCCAACCGAAATTGTACCTAAAGAATAAACAAAGACAAATTTAAGAAATTGAAAAAACTGAAAACAAGATGATAAGTAACTACTTTAAACAAAAATAAACTTAGCAGATCGTATTATTCACCTACTATGAGCATCTTCAAGCTCCCTCTTCACCTCTTCAGGAAGATTTGCTAATCTTTTTGCAGAGGAAAAAAAACCCTTCAGAGAAATTGTAAAAATCTAATCTTTAATTGAAAACAATCATCAATACACACGCAAAATTTTTACCTTGGTGCAAGCCGAAGTAGATTCTGACGTAATTCAGAATACCCAGGAACCTAAAAATTAAAAATCAAAATTTTAAGCTCAAAATTTAAATCTTTAAACTCGTAATCAAAGCTGAAACTATGTTTTGAAGAAGTGAATCGTACATCTTTAACCGTAAGGATTCCAAGTCCATTAGGTCCGAATCCTTGTTCAATCCTCGCAGACAAATCAATTTTGCTCTCCTAAGAAAACACTCAATTGAAAGAGAAAGACGAGTTTTTCAGACAAAACCGAACGCAGAGAAGCCATAAACTGATTTCGGCTTAAATACAATCTTACCTTGAGCTCGG